TACAACTTCAAAACTCAAGGTCAATATCCAAGAAACCCTTCCAGTATTTTCTTTTGGTCATGGGAGTTCTGTGTGCCAAGTTTGGTTCAATTCCATTGTTGGTGGAGTTCAGCATGCTCTTTAATTGTAGGTGAACTATAAATCCCAGCAACTAAAACTCCCAAATGACAAAATCAATTCCCCAATGTCTGATGGAGAGGGTCCACATCCATTGCCCATGTGCTTGTGTTGAGTGTGCATTGCACATCGGCATGCTGTACGAATGCACACGTAGCACAACAAGACACCAACACACACACAAAGCCCATCTGAGACCTGACTCACGGGACTTAGAATCAACAAACCGAGAGAGTTTGAAAACAATCCGTGCAGAGATCCAGAGCGCAATTAAATCCAAAACAAACACTCCTAACCAACCCCATTAAAAGGCAGCGACTTATCATATTTTAAAATAATCTTTTAATGGGTTTACACATTCTTATCGCTTCCTCTTATTTGTGTTGGTTAGTTAACGGCCGTGCTGCGTGGATGAATGGGGCCCCTTGCACGTGGATCCGTGTGCACCTTTGCTTGTGAAAACTGTGTTGCACACTTGGCTCACGCTCGTGCCACAAAGCTGCTCGACACAAGGGTTGTGTGGCACGGTACTTGTGCAAAGATTTACAACCTGGACATTTTCACACTTCAGAGTTGTTGTGACTTTCCGAGCTGTATGGCCATGTTCCAGAAGCATTCTCTCCTGATATTACACCCACATTTATGGCAGTCATCCTCACAGGTTGTAAAGTCTGTTGGAAACTAGGCAAGTAGGGTTGATAGCTCTGTGGAATGACGTTCAGGTTCCGGAAGCATTCTCTCCTGACGTTACACCCTCAGTCATCCTCAGAGGTTGTAAAGTCTGTTGGAAACTAGGCAAGTAGGGTTGCTATCTCTGTGGAATGACGTTCAGGTTCTGGAAGCATTCTCTCCTGACGTTACACCCTCAGTCATCCTCAGAGGTTGTAAAGTCTGTTGGAAACTAGGCAAGTAGGGTTGATATATCTGTGGAATGACATCCAGGGTGGGAGAAAGAACACTTGCCTGTTGGAGCTAAGTGTGAAAGTTGCAATTGGCCACCTTGATTAGCATTTAATGGCCTAGCAGTTCCGGAAGCATTCTCTCCTGACGTTACACATTCAGTTATCCTCAGAGGTTGTAAAGTTTGTTGGAAACTAGGCAAGTAGGGTTGATATATCTGTGGAATTATGTTCAGGTTCCGGAAGCATTCTCTCCTGACGTTACACCCTCAGTCATCCTCAGAGGTTGTAAAGTCTGTTGGAAACTAGGCAAGTAGGGTTGATATATCTGTGGAATGACATCCAGGGTGGGAGAAAGAACACTTCCTGACGTTACACATTCAGTTATCCTCAGAGGTTGTAAAGTTTGTTGGAAACTAGGCAAGTAGGGTTGATATATCTGTGGAATGATGTTCAGGTTCCGGAAGCATTCTCTCCTGACGTTACACCCTCAGTCATCCTCAGAGGTTGTAAAGTCTGTTGGAAACTAGGCAAGTAGGGTTGATATATCTGTGGAATGACATCCAGGGTGGGAGAAAGAACACTTGCCTGTTGGAGCTAAGTGTGAAAGTTGCAATTGGCCACCTTGATTAGCATTTAATGGCCTAGCAGTTTCAAAGTCTGGCTTCTTACTGCCTGGGGGAATCCTTTGTTGGAATTCCAATTGCAACATACACTCCAACTTCCAACACACAAGACAGCAAACACTCAAGTGCCAGGTAACACATCCCAAACAGAGGGTGCCTCCAGGCAACAAGGGCCAGGTTACCTCTATGCAGATTGATTGACTTTGCAGACTTCATGACTACTCAATGCTATTCAAGCTTATCAAGTGCAACGACCACATTTCCTTGAACAGACAAGGGTTCTTTCTCCCACCCTGGACATTATTCCACGGTTATATAAACCCCATAAGGAAGCTGATGTTTTTCTTCATCAGCTTCCCTATGCGATCAACAAAGGATTCCTCCAGGCAGGAAGCAGCCAGGCTTTGCAGCTGCCAGGCTATTCAATGCTAATCAAGGTGTCCAATTACAACACTCATACTTCTCTTAAATTGACAAGAGTTCTTCCTCCCACCTTGGACATCATTCCACAGATATATAAACCCCATTTTCCTAGTTTCCAACACACTTCACAACTTCTGAGGATGCCTGCCATAGATGTGGGCGAAACGTCAGGAGAGAATGCAGAGAAGCAATTGCAATCTACAAGCATGTGGATAATTTCAACAGAAACCATGAAAATGAACAAAATCTGGCTACTAGTACTTTAAAACCAGGGGCGGCTCGTCCATTACGCGAAGTAAGCGGTCGCAGAACACTTTTTTTTGCCAGGGGCGCAGAGGCGCCTCTGTAAATGCCCCTCGACCGCCACTTGAGGAGCGCCCCCTCAGCTCACAACAGCCCTAGCAGTCCGGGGGGAGCCTCGGCTTTCTTGCCTTGCTGCTGGGCGATCCTCTTCCCAAAGGGGCCGGGCCCTTGAGCCTCACCTAGCCCCTCTCGTTCCTGCTCCATCCGGCCACCGGGTGCGCGAGCAGAGCCAGCGCTCAATCGTTCTCTGCGTTCGATCCCTTCCCCATGACCGGCTCCCTTTCCCGATCCCCCGGCGCTCCACCTGCCTCCTCTCCTCTCCCCAATCCACAGGTGGGCCAAGGGGCGGAGCCGCCGTGCCTGGCCCGCTTCGGGTCCGGAGGCATGTCTGAAGACTCCAGCGTGCGCACCAAAAGTCGCCTCTTCTCCTGACTTTCTCTTCAGCCATTGGGACCAGAGAGAGAGAGAGAGAGCCCCTCCGGCTGGAGGTATCTCCCACCTCCGCTCCCTCCTTTGTTTTTGCGCCTACCTTCAGGAAAGGTGGGCATCTCCACCTCTCTCTCTCTCTCTCTCTCTCTCTCTCTCTCTCTCGGTCCCAATGGCTGAGGAGAAAGTCAGGAGAAGAGGTGACTTTTGGTGTACACGGGTCTTCAGGCATGCCTCCGGACCCAAAGCAGGCCAGGCAAGGGAGCAAGTGCGGCAAGTGTAGTTACTGGGATGTATAGTTCACCTACAATCAAAGAGCATTCTGAACTCCACCAATGATGGAATTGAACCAAATATGGCACACAGAACTCCCATGACAAACAGAAAATATATATCAGTGATTGGTTGGGGGGGGGGGCGCCAAAATACTGTTTGCTTACCTTTGAAAATTACCTAGGGTCGCCTCTGTTTAAAACCCTCTAAAATCATAACTGTAAATAAAGAACAACAGTCAAAAACAGGGGAACTCCAGACAAGAAACAACCAGGGACAGCTTATTCCCTCTCAACAAAGGATTCCCCCAGGCAGGAAGAAGCCAGACCTTGACAACTGTTAGGCCAATTTCAACAGAAAAGAAGAAACCATGAAAATGAACAAAATCTGGCTCCCAGTATTTAAAAACTCCTCTAAAATCATAACTGTAAATAAAGAACAACATTCAAAAACAAGGGAACTCTAGACAAGAAACAATTGAGGACAACTAATCCCCTCTCAACAAAGGATTCCCCCCAGGCAGTAAGAAGCCAGACCTTAACAACTAATTGCCTCTCAACAAAGGATTCCCCCAGGCAGGAAGAAGCCAGACCTTGACAACTGTTAGGCCAATTTCAAGAGAAAAGAAGAAACCATGAAAATGAACAAAATCTGGCTCTCAGTATTAAAAAAAACCCCTCAAAAATCATAACTGTAAATAAAGAGCAACATTCAAAAACAGGGGAACTCAAGACAAGAAACAATTGGGGACAACTAATCCCCTCTCAACAAAGGATTCCCCCAGGCAGTAGGAAGCCAGACCTTGACAACTGCTAGACCATTAAATGCTAATGAAGTTGGCCAATTGAAACAACCTCCCAACAGACAAGAGTTCTTTCTCCCACCCTGGACATCTAAACCCCATTTTCCTAGTTTCCAGAACTCACAACCTCTGAGGATGCCTGCCATAGATGTAGGCGAAATGTCAGGAGAGAATGCTTCTGGAGCATGGCCAGACAGCCTGGAAAACTCACAACAACCCAGTGATTCCAGCCATGAAAGCCTTCGACAATACTCTGTTGAATTGGTTGAAATGTAGGCAAACTGTCAGGAGAGAATGCTTCTGGAACATGGCCAGACAGCCCAGAAAACATACAACAACCTAGTGATTCCAGCCATGAAAGCCTTCGACAATACTGAATTGGTTGAGACTCTGTGACCTCCTTCTACAGTGCCATCTAAAACCCTTTGAACCGGATTATATGGCAGTGTGGACTATATAATCCAGTTCAAAGCAAATACGACATCAGAGCTTTCTTAAGAACCTAGAATCACTGAATCCTGGAGTTGGAAGGGACCCCCAGAGGCCATCCAGTCCAACCCAGTTCCGCCAGGCAGGAAGACACAATAGAATCCCTCCTGACAGATGTCCATCCAGCCTTTGCGTTAAAAACCTCAAGAAAAGGAGACTCTTAACTCTCAATTTTGCCATAAAGGAGCTCTCCAAGGTCTTATAAGGGAGCAAAGCTTCGAAATCTGGAAGGACAGCCTTAAAATTCGGACTAAAACCCAGACAGAATGCATTGAAATGAAACCACCAGCCTATATTGCAGATATGCTTTTGCTGGGTGCCCTCTACACTATAGAAGCAGTGCAGTTTGATCCCGCTTTAACTGTTAGGGAATCCTGTAGGTTTCCATAACAGTTTGTTACAGAGTTCTAGTTGTTATGCTTATTATAGTTATTACAAAGAGGAAAATAAACACAAGAAATGGGGAATGAGGCGTGTTGTGCTGATTCAGCAACCTCTGCCCGACTTTGGACGCATTTGGAGGCGCGCGCAAAGGATGGCTTTCCCAAGGAGCGCGTTCACACGTGCGTCCAGACACGGGTCCTGAGATGCGTGTCAGGGGGGCCTCTTGGGCAGGGTCTCCCTCCCTCTCGGCTTACTCACCTCTCTCTTCCCCGGCGGAGCTTCTCCTTCGCAGCTGGCAGTGTCTAGACCAAGTCCTGCCCAAAGCCAACCCGCCTCTGGACCTCCTTCTCCTCCTTCCTTCCT